AGGCCAGACGCCAAGTTATGATTAGGTCTGTGGTCAAATGTCCCAGGCTACAGTTTTAACCAACATGCTGCTAGGGCAGGCGCTGTAGTAAAGTTTCATGTGGCCTTGGCTATAGGAGCTAGTACTCACAACTTGTATGCTGATTTTTAGGGCCATCTCATGCCCGTAGCCAGGATTTTGAATGGGGGGGTTCTTCCCACTGCTTGAAGGGACCTCGAGCGCCGTAGGCGCGAGGCGAGCGCCGAAGGCGCGAGGTTCCTAGGGGGGTCCGGAAAATTTTGAAAAATGAATCTTCTAAAATGGCATTTCGTGCATTTTTGAGAGGATTTCCAATAAAAAATCAGAGATAAATTTTTATTCAGTGACAAAGGGAACAGTTTTTCTATGATTCCAGTCCATCTTTTCAAGAAAAATCTTGGACCTTTACATAAAAAGTGGACAAAAAAGTGGACCTTTACATGAAAAGTGGACCAAAAAGTGGACCTTTACATAAAAAGTGGACCAAAAAGTGGACCTTTGAGCCTTGTGGGGGGTTCTTCCGAACCCCCCGAACCCCCCCTGGCTACGGGCATGCATCTGTCCAAATCACACCTGTCAGGCCATACCTTGGATTACAAGGCTGGGTAAGTTACCCACAGACACCTCCAGTAGTGAGATTGACAGGCCAATTAGAGGGATTATCTGTGGGAAATGTGGGGTGTTAGATGTTAGAGTGGACAGGAGGCAGACTGGCAGGGGGCTTACAGTTACACATCACTGTCAGGTTTGATGAATGGGATTGAGCTAGTTCTGGGTTCTGCCACCTTCATTCTCTTCTTCTTTTATCAAGTATGAAGTGAAAAGGTTTCAATGCTTTAAGTGTTAATGTACTCATTAATTTTGATGCTTTCTTGGTTATGTAGCTGATAGTGCAATAGTCTAGTACTGTGGCTTCCATAGAAATTTACAAGCTCTACTTACTGGTAATTTGCTCTACCAGGATTCAGAAGTGGCTGGAAAGAGGAGAAATTGCTCAGAACAGAAAGCTGTACCCCTTTTGCAACTCCCCTGGCACGTCATCTGTGTCTACAGTGTGTTTGGCCAGTTTCTAGTTGCTTCCCCACAGAATAATCTGGTACTTGTAAAAAGAGTTTTAAGTTTTAAAAGTTTAGGATAACGCCAACCTTCTGCATGTAAAAACGAAAGAAAAGTCGATGTTGAGCATGGATTATCTATTCCTTCACGACTTACAATGTAACAGGGAGCCTTATGGAGTGATGAATGTTCCTTCCTCGTCCCTTTGTTGTACATGATGAATCGTCATAATTATTCGCAGTGAAGAGCATCAGTGTTGTTGATGGTCCCTGCGCAGAAAACTTTGTCCCGAAAGCATCGGCGACAATTAGTCAAAACTTCCCAAAGGAGTGGAGTTGTCAGCCGGAGAGATGGGTAGTAGTTAGGACACCCTGTGGAATGTCTTACCAGAGGATTGGTATTAATCTCTTTGGTCCCAGGAGGTTGTACCTTTTTCTGCAGACCAGTAAGCCGTTTGTTTCCTGGGACTTTGCTTTAAACACCTTGTGGTGGGTTATGGGAGGATGTCTCTCAGGGGACTGCAGTGATTAAGTGCTCTAACTGTGTGGGTTGTTACAGTACAGCACATATCAGCACCTAGGGCTAGAAATACCACCTGCTGGTGTATGTGCAGGTAAATTTGGAGCTGTGCTGGTGTCTACAATGTGTAGCACCTTGGTCCATTATTAAAGACTCATACCAGGGTGAACTACCACCAGTAGTGGTCTCAAAACTAGTAATATTTGTAATTTGAATCAAAATGTATCAACCTAAGTTTACACAACAGATTACAAGATTGAGATTTTACTACACTTGACTAGTAAAAGCATTTTCAAAACATAAGTTTGATTTTCATTGCATCATTTTTGTAGTACTACAAGTTACTGTAGTAGTGTGGGAAAAAAAGAATATATTTTGAGCCCCACATTGGCGCATTATGCTCTGTTTTTTTCTTACATCTAACTTCTAAGCTCCATTAGTTGACTTCTGTGTATTTCGCACAGTTGAATGATTTATGGTCTGGTGTGTGTTTTCTTGTGATCAAACACTGTGCTAAGTAGCTGCACTGCCAACTACACTTAACGGTATTCTTGAAGGAGTGATTTAATGTGTTAAAGAAAGTGGCGAGGTCTCCTTGAGGCATTATCAAGGAGCAGACGAGTGACAAATACACCCCAAGAGGTAGTTAAGGAAGTTTCAGAGGAGGTCTCCAGATTATGAGGAATGCTTCAAGGTTTCTTTTTAGTCATTTGTCAAATTTTGAATTTGAACATGAGTAGCATAACTGGGAAAATGCCATATGGCAATAACGTCAGCTTTTCTGTGTACTTATGTGTGTATAGTTGATACATGTATTTAGGGCAAGCTTCAATTCACAAGTTGTTTTGAGTCAAGTCATGTATTAAGGTTGAGTGGCTGATCGAGCTGTGGGCTCAATGTGTATCTGTCCAGACAGATTATACCTTGACAGTACGTTTTGCTGTCCTGTACTTGTTATCGGAAAGCCTTATATGGACAGTAAGTTCTTCCATAGTCTTCCCGGGAAATCCTAGTGCAGAAAAATCCTACAATTCATGACAGCGCCTTTAAGTATAAAGCCTTAGGGTAAGAAAACAAGCCTAAACAGTGCAAGCAGTGTGAATGTCAGCGGGCTTCAGGCCTCCAACAGACGGCTCTAGGCAGGGATTTGTCTGTCCTGCATGATTCAGTAGATGGATTACAAACCATCATGGATCACTGCTAATGCCACTGATAGCAGTAAAGGTGATGGTCTTGACATTGATGGGGTGTTTGATATATTCTCTGTAAAGCTCAGAGCTTGCAGCTGTCTGGCTGTCTCAGGTCTAGGAGATCTAGAGTCAGGTTTCAAAATACTTTTTTGTGTACCTGCGCTGGTGCATGCAATATTGAAAATTAATTACACCAGACAAGTTTTTCCTGCACCTCTCCAAACTTAGAAGTATGGATGAAACATGTACAAAAAACTATTCAGTTATTTCTTAAATTTATACTAAATCATAGGTGCTAGCAGTCAATGCAACAAATGAAAATACACCTAGTAGTACACACTTTTTCAACAAGTGATACTACAAAGTACATGTATATGTGACTGTGCTGTACAATGTACATGTGGCTTCAACTGGTTTGTGATTTTAGGCACACTGTGTCAGCCATGTTGGGATCTTATGTGGAGGCGTTTAATGCATGTTGCTCTGCCATATACATGGGAAAGGCTGCTTAATGCATTCCCCACCAAAGGACTAATGCAATATAAGTACTAGTATACATCACATTATGTTGGATCTAAGTTAGAAACTTAAACTTGAGCGCTCAGATATATTTTTATGAAGCCTTCTGTGGGTGAGTAAACACTCCAGATCAAGGTGCTCAAGTTACTTTTTCCAGCAAGCTTTCCAAGAAAAGTCCTGATGAAGTGTCACTTCTAACAAGTTGGATCTAGCAGAAAATTGATTATCGCCCCAGTCATTTTTCCATTTCTTTCCCTAATTGACCGTACAGCCTTCTATTAATTGACTGGTACACGAGCCCCTGTGGGAAAAATAGTCTGTGTGGCATATAGAATACACATTTATCATAACCATTAGTGCTTTTTGGCCTTCATTGTAAGCTTTTGAAGCTAGGATCCATTAGATCATCTGCTCAAAATATCTCAGAAGAGCTGAGAAGAGGACCAAACAGAAGGTAATTGTTGGCTACAGTCCAGTATAGGCAACAGTGAGCTCAAGATTTTGCAATTACAAGTACTGTAGGTAGATGTATCTTGCAATTGGGACTTACACTTTGTCAAGCTTTTGAAGCTAAAATCCATTAGATCAACTGCTCACAAATATCTCTTGCTGAGAAGAGGACCTAACAGAAGGTACAGTGTTGGCCACATTCCAGGGTCAGCAAAAATGAGATTGTGTTTACAATTAAGTGGGTAGATGTATTTTTTGATGTACACTCTGTCAGATGCTGGGGCATATTTTTTTCTAACCTCACTGTGCCTACATGTATCTAGTATCTGCGTATTGAAAGCGTATGGTATTTGACAGTATCCTTCTAGTTGGTTGTAGTGTCACAAAAGGAGATATCTGATCCGGTTGTAACTGATACAATTTGTGTTTGGGAAAGAGTGCTAGACTGAGTATATGGGTATTGAACACACACCACTACCAGCAGACTTTCCAGACATCTTGAAGAGGTGATTCACCATTTTATGTCCATCCTTCCATGCACAAATGTGGTAAAGTTTCATAAATAACATGATGGAATGCGGGTATCACAAAAAAACAATCTGACAGCATAGAAAGAATCCAGAAAAGGGCATGCAGAATCATGCTGGGTAGAAGCTATCACTCGTATTCCGAGGCCCTGTCAACTCTTGACCTCCAACGTCTGTCTGAACGGAGACTGACCCTGTGCCGGGCCTTTGCCCTTTCAGCCACTAGGTCTAGGCACGCCCCCTGGCTACCCCCAGTTAGTAACCACTCACACAACATGCAGCTAAGGCAAACACGGCGCTACAAACCACCCATTGGGACAAAAAGATATTTATGCAGTCCTGTCCCCACAATGCTGAACATACTGAATAACCTTGCCATACAGTAGATTTCATTTTATGTTGTTGCACATGATGTAATTGTACTTTTTTATTATTGTCAGTTGTACCTAAGTAATTTGCCAACAGAAGTTGTATGATGTAATTTTAGCATAAATGTGTATTATTCTAGCGTATAAGTGGTGTTTAATGCCTCTCAAGGCACTTTTTATGTATATATATTATGTATTAGTCATGTAATTTTTTAAAAATTTGTAAAAGCTTCTCAATTCAGCCTTTGGCTGCAAAAAGCTTCTAACCTACTGTACTATGTATGTATGAAGTATGTGTTTCTGCAAATAAACCAGTCTATGATATATATATGATGCTGCTGCATGTGTTTCAGACCTGCGAGACGTCGGAGAGCACGTATAACGAGTATGACATGACAGACGAGGACAACGCCGTGCTGACGGGCCACGATCTCCATGACGACGTGGACAGCGCCATCGGGACCACACCCTCCACCGACGCAGACGGGTTCCTCTCCGTACAGAACGGCAACAAGAAAAGGTCAGCAGTCACAAAGCTAGTTCTCTCTAAGCCACAATCATGTATAGAGAAGAAGAAATGGTAATACATAATTCCTCAAGAAATAGTCTGAAGATCGTGTATATTGTCATATATTTCAAAATGAGTTGCAGACTCTTCTAAATCCATCTTCATAATGACCATGAGACAGTGTCATTAAGAGACCTGTAACCACAAAATCAAATTCTGAAGAAAAAGGGGCAGCACTTTCGAGAAATGCAAATAAAAGTCAATGATTCTCACACAGTGTCACATTAAAAATATCCAGATTTGAAAACAAGCTTCATTGCAAGCCCAAATTTATGACTGTAATCCCCACGAGACAGTGTCATTAACAGTTCTCAAGCCACAAAATCAATAGAATTAGCAGCGAGTCCCTTGCGTGAGTTCTGCCTGAGTTCTCAGTGGAACAGTAATGGTTGACCACCTGTAGAGCCTTGCAGTCTCTCTGCGCGATTTGATTCCCTAAAATCACCACTTAGGCCGCAGTTCTAACGAATAGTTCTGTACGAGAGTGATCTCTCCGTCGTGCAGTTTGAAAGGCCTCCCGCTGCTCAGCAATATGCGTCTTGCTTTTGAAATAATCTTACAGGAAATTACCTCTCGGGTTCTAGGAAATTGTACTGATAAGGAGTGGCTTAATGTGTAGTTTGTAGGATTTCCTGGAAAAACTGTTCACTGATTCAGAAATGCTTTTGAATATTGCATCAAACTACTACTCTGTCCACAGTTGTAACAAAATTCAATTGTTAAAAGTGGGTTATCCCATAATTTTATATTTTTTTTTTCATCAGCAATATGCTTGACTGTCATCAAAATGAAGAGCTCAGTACCCAGACCACATCTTTCACAACTTTCATATCTTTATTCAGAGCTGCTACAGTCATAAGTTGGCCCCCAGAATTCGCAGTCTGCAAAATGCATTAAGTCACATTGTCTATTATAGGCCAAGAAGTAAATGTTCTGAGTAGGTATGATGTCTCTGTCATGTAAACCCAGTACGCAGTGCAGGTTATGTACAGAAATACCTGCACAGCTCCTTTTTTACCTGCTTATGCAGGTCACGCATTTCGAGCCCTGGTCACAGTTTTCACAAATAGACCTGAGGCTAGAGTGATTCCTGTAGTGATGACTTTGTCTCCTGCTGTGAAGGAAATGCGCAGTCATCAAGCAAGTAAATTAAATGTGCTTTAAAAATCACCATACAGTTCTGTGGCAGAGAGATGGTGTGGTGTTTTTTGTCGGTAAGCAATCAGTAAGCAATATAATGCACTGTCATCAAAATGCATTAACCGTATTTGTTTCAGTATAAATGAAGCTCCTCTTTACCGTACATTGTACTAAATCGTCCTAGAGCATGACAGTATAGGCGAGAGATAACGCTATGATGAAAGCTATTACGACTGTTGCTTGATATTGCAATCAGTCAAGTTTGCTCGGTGCATACTAAAAAGTGTAGGGCCACACCAGTTTCTTTTCGGATTTTTAAAAAGTGTGCTCAACTGGAAATACACTGAAAGCAAAGCCAGGTAGTGTGCCTTTGCAGTCAGTTTACGGAGTAACTAGTCTGTCATACTCAAGTTTTCCTTTCTGCCCTCTGCTTTTATGATGTCTGCCTGCTAATATTTTCACCATAAAATGTTTGAGAACGAAGGAAATAGATAACATGCAATTTTGGTGTGGTCTGAACTACACAAAATGAGTAAATGCTTTCTATAACTGTTACGTGCTCTATGCAGGGCTACTTTCAGCCTGATTTATCCGTCATTACAGCATGGACGATCACTACATTTATCTTTTGTAAAGAACCAGTAATTCCATAACTGAAGAATCGTGCTCATTGTCATGATCGATGACCATCTTCTCAACACCCTGACAGCCACAATTTGCAAGATTGAAAAGCAGGCCGAGAAAATCGCATGTTGGTTATCCTCGACAAATAGCCGGCCTAGAAACCGGACCAAATACGCACCACGGTGGGAACAAGATCAAAGAAAAGATCCCGTCAACAGATTAGCATTGACGGGTTCGCTGTCGGGTATTTGTGACCTGCGCTGTTAGGAAAAACGGGAATGCCTAACGGCATGAGCCTTGAAGTATGCTTGCCGTCACGATGCGTATATTTTATACAATGCAGACTGATTCATCATGGCAGTATGGGTCTATATCATGTTTGAATAGGGTGGGTTTAACTGTAGTGGCAGAGAGGAAAATGCATGAAATGCAGACAGGACGAGCTAATGGGTGAAGGTGTGAATCTATGGCATGAACAGGTTTCGACGGCATATCACTATGTAATCATCTCTAGCCAATGACTCAGCAGCTATTTGTAAATCATTTGTAAAATTTCTAGAAACCCCAAATGCACAGTTATTTTGCATCAAATAAGAAATTAATAAACATTATAAGTGGATGCAAAACAACTACTACCAGTTCTACATGACATAAAGATTAAAATGAAATTGAAATAATGTTACTTGAAATCAAATATATCATTAGAAATGCTGTCCTCTAAGAAAATTTGAATTCTGTCTATATTCTCTATGCTGTCAAAAATGTTTTAGTCAAGACAAGTTGAGAGTTGGACTTGATAAGTACAAAATGAATGTAACATAGCAAATTCATATTTCGTATTCTACAGATGCCGTTTGGGAAGACTACTAAGAGATTTTTTTTGTTGCCTTGAAAGTTTGAGCCCTTAAGGGTGACAAAGGGCTTTGAATACCAAACACATAAAATCCTACTGAGAATATCAAAACCTGCAGAAAGCTGGCGAGTCAGGGTCAGGTCTATTAAATGTAACCCTCGCCTGAGCCTGGCACATGGTCGACATGTTCGGTTCAGCTGACCTTACTTCAGAAAAGCTTGTTGCTAAACCCATGGGCAAACCGTGCAGGCATTGGCCAGATTTCAACTTAGGCCATGTTGATTTGATTATATGGATGACATCCACGCAAGCATGAATTTTTGTCCTAAAACCAATCAAGCCATATACGTGTATTATGTACTGATGACAAAAAGTAACAACACTAACAACATACTAGTACTTTCTCTAACTGTAAGTGCCAAAATATGATGATTTGGGGTAAATGTTAAAAATGGCCAAAATGGTATTATACATATTAAATAAAATTGGTGTGGCCTTTCTTGTCTATGTTCACAATATAGAGGAATGGATTATAAATGCATACTGTTTTACTATATTATAATAATAATAATTATAGTACATGTATCAGACATTACAGCAACTATATTCAATGACAACTCTAAGTGTTTATTATCAGCAGGCTATGGCATATTCCAACAAATTGCTCTTCAAATTGAGAGCATGGCTAGATTCCAAATTCAGAGACATCCAAACTTGTTTTCATGCATGACTTGCTGCAGGTTGCTGAGTAGGCATGAGGGGCACTTTGAATTTTCCTGTTCAACGGAGATGAAAGTTAAGCACCTCAGAGGAGGACTTGCCTTTGGAGTTCAGTGTACTGGTCAGGAATTACATTATAGAATAGCCAGACTGCATAGAACTTGATAAAGTTGGTACATGTATCTACAAGTCAGTGGCCAACTCTGTACTATCCTTAGCTTTACATATGCCTGTAGCTTACATTCTAAGGAACAGTCTTGTGGCATTACGATGAAAGTACAAATTTCACCTAAGAATGTAAGAATGAAGAAAATGTGAAATAAAATTTGACATAAAAAATGAAGTAAGAGTTCGAAATACCCCATGATTGCAATTGAAACTGCAGAAAATGATATGAGCAAGCTCATCCACCACAAAAGTGCCAGAAATGTATCTCAGTTATCAAATTGCTACTGGAAGAACTAGAAAGTTCATAGTGCCTAACTGATTTGCATTGCCAGCATCTTTTCAATCCATAAACATTTTGTCCCATCCTCAATCCCTCGATATCATCAATTTCTCTGAAATTATCAAGTGTCAGGTATTATCTAACTCATTATCTAAAGTTGTCAAAGCAATTCGAAATTTAAGATTTAAAGCATAAGAAGTTTACTGATTCTGATAGCTGCAATTGAAAATGTAATTTCCTTCTCGCCAAGAACTTCTCACAGATAAGGATGATCTATGGAGCTTGAATACCTTTTGGACATGCAGACATGTATAATTTATAGTGTGTGCTTGGAAGTGTGAAAGGTTTGATGGAATCGTGAAGGAATTGGCCACAAGAGCCTTGAGATTTTTTTATTTAAAGCTTCTGCAGATATTCCAGTGCCTGGGGATTTTCTCCATCTTTAGGGCCACCTTAGATTGTCCAAGGACGGTTTTTGTCATGTACAAAAGAACCAGTGAGACGTGTTGATCAAAGAAATGTTAAGGTTTAAACCTGAATATGAAAAGCAGTTAATATAATATGTATTTCAGGATAAAATCTCTGCCCTCAGGGACTGCCTTGCATCCAGTAGGAGAGAACTGTTATTGTGCGTCTGTTATTTATAAAGGAATTGTTAAGAATGGATGTGTGCTATTGAGAGGTAATAGGCTTTAGTTGTCAGTTGCTATGCCTATCCTCCATATCCTCTGACTTGATAAATACTATTAGCAATATCACAAGCTGAGTCCCAGGAAAAAACCTTAAGGCTAGCCAATTGCAAAGTTATCTACCTGGCAGTTGTTGAGAAGACATTGACCCTCGCAGGAAAATCATCCACTTAGTCAGCCACCAGGATGTTCACGGCGGTCTCTTTTGATAAAATATGACACAGGTTTTTCCTGGAAACTGTGAGCTGGAACTTATATTTTATAATCAGCCAACAGCCCTTGTAGATGTAAAATAAACTTAACTTCCCATAAAGGCTGTCTAGACACAGAGTTTGGCAACATTCAAGAAGGCATCGTAGTATGTTAGACAGAACTGCTTTCTTCACTCGTTTTCAAGCTGTAGCACTTAACAGGTGTCTTCAGTACTCTAACTGTACATTGGGTAAGTTGTTTAAGCTTAAATGAGGATGACACTTTAGCCTATACACAGGGTTTACTCCACGATGTCCATGTTTTTGACTTGAATGTTTTTCTGCGTCGTATGAGTTGACTGTGATGTGAGGAATGTGTTGAAAGATGCTAAAAAAATTTCCTCTGATTTAATAATGTATTATTTCGGACTATTTTAACTTTATTGGATGTCTCACTCTGTTGTCTGTCCCCAGGTATACACACCACCACCACCCCTCCTCACTCATGTCTGAGAGCACGTACGGAGAGTACGAGCCGGAGGAAGAACGGTTTGAGGACTTCGGCGAGGCAGACGACGTCGGGGATGAGGTGGACCTCCCGGAGTCGGACATGACGGAGAGCGCCGCCGAGGACGACCAATCAGAGCAGCACCCTGACCTGCCCCCTCCTACACCGCCCCCTATGAAGTGAGTCAAGTACTGCAGGGCACAGATACTTAGACTTAGACTCAACTTAGACTTAGCACTGCAGCAAGGTTGGTCAATGTCCAGTCTCTCTAATCTTCAAGCAGATTTCGGTGGCAAGACAACATATCCATTAGCCAGAGGAGTTTGTACGGCCACAGAATATGGTGGCTAATGGACACTCCTCTGGCCAATGGACACTGCCTTGCCACCATATGATCTGCTTGGAGATTACAGTCTCTCTACAGCCTTCCAATTCAGATTTAACTTAGAGATACACAGTGAGAGATATAGAACAAGTAGCTCTTGGTTGTTGGTTTATGGAGAGAAATTGTATGCACAGTCAAACCTGTCTGTTTGAGTGACCAAGTCACAGTAGACAGGTGGTCACATTCCTGGTCAATGAAAAAAATGGCCTATTGATCCGCAAAGGCCAGGTTGTCCTTATAAATTATGCAGAGGCGGTCACTTATGTAAAAGTACGGGTTTGACTGTACAATTTAGCTACCTTGCTGTATGAATTTCTTTGAAGTTAAACATCACGTGATTTGGGGTATGTGGCATTAGCTTATAATAGAAACATTGCTGTATCATCTTTTTATCTATGCCTTTGAAATGTCAGCTTCTGTCTACCTCATTCTGATTCAAGTCTTGTTGCACTCAGATCAAAGTCGGTAAGCCCTTTGACGGGTTAACCAACCGTTCACTCAGAAATGGCTCCTAGACTATCTCTGCAGCATAGAAATAGAGTCGTCAACCCGTCCAGGAATCAGCCACACATATACATATATACAGTGATATGCAGCTTCATTGAATTTAATGGTACGAAGCTTTCAAAGGATGCAGCATATCAACCACCCTTTGGTCTGAATGGCCGAAAAAGGGTGCCCTTTCGCCAGACCTCACTTTATCTATTTTGCGCAGGAGGGATGGAAGAATGGCTGCTGCTGAAAGAATATTTTGCTGCTTACAGCCCCTTGTGATCATGTACACAGTAAAAAGCAATAACATTGGAATGGGGAAAGTTTTCCCTTGGGTATTGCAGGTTGGCTGAAAAGGCTAGTACCCATTTTAAAGTTTGTACAATTGATCCACAGAACTTCTGGATTATGCATGTAGCATAGCAATGCAATGGCCAAATTCAGATGGGATGCCAGTTTTGTTGCTGCACATGTAACAACACAAAATATGAGGAGAAAGACTGCTATGGATGTTTGACTTTTTCTGTCACAGACCAATTTATTGTGTGATTTCTTGAATTTGCCAAAATTTTGATGAACTGCAAAATCAAAGAGTCTTCAGTTGGTGGATTGTCTGCAAAAAGTTCAGTATAATTATGTAGAAACTGTTTTCGTTTTGATCCCTTCCAGGAATCTCCCTTGAATTGAGAAGCTGTTGAAGAAACGTGCCACTGCAAGTATCATTCAAAAGGAATAAACAACTGTTACAAAAAATCTTCCCAATGCTGGTTGAAACGCACTCAGTGTAGCGGTAAAATCACATTATCGGGGATAAAAATCACAGCGAATGGTCTAGCAAAAAGTATGGCGTTGGCACTGAACAAAGCATCAGCATTTTGTCACGGTAGCAGCGTTTTATCACCTGAACCCCATAGCTTCGCGGCTAACATTTTCACACCGTGGTTAATCCGTTTTTGGCCTTCTTTGTGGACTTAACATTTCCATACATCTTCAAAAGGCTATAACAGGCCAGAGCCCCCCTCATCCCCCTTCTCTGCATCAGGAAGATCACGACCAGTGCTCTCCTGCATCGGGCTGAATGGTAATGAGAGCCCTGGTGTTCCCTTGCACTTAGTGTTACAAGATACAAGATACAAGATACAAGATACAAGATCTCTTTATTGGAAATCGCAGTGTTGCCACTGAATTAAAACCAATTTACAATTCAAAATAAGGAATTCATTAAAAGGTGGAATTCATTAACAGCTGGAATGCATTAAGGTTCACAAATATGGACAAATTATACACACACATTACAAAAAGGGTTACTGTCCGTGCTGGTTTACAAGTCTTGTCATGTACGGCACACAAGAGTTAATGCAGGGTAGGACTGTTAATGGTCGGTGCAAATGCCAAAGTGCAAGAATTCTTCCTGCGTTGAATCATTCATTGGATTAAACTTTAAAATTTACCATACAGGTGGTAAACTGCGATCAGGTGAGGTTTAGGCCTCATCTTAACTAAATCCTCTAGTAGACTTAAATTATTCATGACACATACAGTTTGGTGCACCACAGATCATCTAACAACCAGTTTTCTCCACCTCATGCTTAGTGCCGTGATGGTCCATTTAGGTAACAGGTTTTGAATGCACCAATCCATTGGTTCTTTTCTAAGACCTTGAAAATATACATTTGTAACACAGGACTGGAACATGGAAACATAGTTTGAGGGAAGAGTCATGATTGGACCTATGATGGTTGGTGAGGGTGACCCTAAACTATATAAGTAACTTCAGCCAACATGACAGGTGCTAAATACCTGTTTCAGGTATTGCAGACTAGGGCATACCAATCCAATTTCTTGGTTATCAGATTTGAAAAAATAATGACAGAATGGAAAGTCAAGAACATTGCCTGTCAATGCTTATTAAATAAAAATCTGCACACTCCTACATGTATATTATAAACCCAGTACATGTATATGATGATTGTACTGGTGCAGTTTAGTTGCAGGTTAACATTCAGAAACACCTACACAGCTCCATTTTTACCTGCACTTATATTCCGGTGCAGGTGAGATTTCCAGCCCTAGTCTGTGGGGTTAACAGTTTACAATGAATAATTTGTGGACATGTACAGCAAGGTTTGCTTCTAATTTGATTACATTTCATTGCCATTCCCCACAAGCACAGTTTAATGGAACATACTGCAAAAGGTCAACGGCTTTTATCACAGCCTTGCACACTGGCTCATAAACATGTGATGAGCAAGTAGTGGTAATGAAAAAGGGCAACAGTGAGAAACATTTGTCTCATCATCGTCATCCATCGACCCTTTGGGACAGGGTGTCTAACATTTGTCTAACGCTCTTCTCAGGCTCACACATCTGTATGAGGAAGATAATACCGCCAGCCGTGATACTTTTTGACACAGACCTCTTAAATTTGAGGGTCTAACCTGACTGCTTAGTAATCATGCGATGGGCGAGCATAATCTTAGTAGAGGGCAGGAACCAATGAATATTTTTCTAATACTGTAACAGTAACTGACTCTTCTGAAACTAACCTGTATCTGTGTGAGGAAGATAACTGCTAGCCCCTTAACTTATACATGTAATTGACACAGACCTCTTTATATTTTTTTACGCAACCTTTTACTCTGACTGCATATGAGCCCCTGATCGAGGGTGAAGTTTAACATTTGACTCTTCCTGGATCAATGAACCTGTGCTGGTGTGGGTTTGGGAGGGATCAGAATGAATTCCATGTGCATTCAGAGCAGCTAAATGTGTGGGTGGATGGGGGTTGTGTTAAGTACTGGCAAATGTTTAAAAGAACATCATTGAAGTCAAAAGCAGCGCTGCTGATTAATAAAGACATTCAGGATCCGATGCTAAATTTAGGAAAAACTGTCTGCCTTTAAAGGGACACAAGACATTCGATTAAATCTGTCATTACACCATGCATGGTATGTCTGATATGTGATTTCTACACTTAGTTCGTTAGTCCATCGTAGTTTACAGCGCTACCGGCCGTTTGAAGTTGGGGCTAGCGCCTAGCGTTTACAAACTGGCCGCCGCCATACCTTCACAATGACGTAATCGTGAAGTTCTTAAAAGAACTAGGTCAACGTTCGCGCGTTCGCGCGTTCGATGCAATTCGATCTCGCTACTTTCTCTTGCTTCTTGTCTATTTCGGCTGTTGTTATCGGTGGTTTTATAAGTTTACAAGGTAACACATGGCGGAATATGAAGAAGAAGATCCGGATAGAGGGGATTTTGATCCCGACAACATCATCGCATATAATTTTCAGCCGAGGCGCAGCGAGAGAGGGTCTGCATCGAGTGTAGAGGTCGAGGAGCCAGGCAGTCCTGTGTCCCCACCGTCCGAGCCAGAGCTTCTAGAGCCCATGACCATGGAGGAGTGGGACGGAGTTGATGTGGAAACGGAGGGATGGCGGTTGGACGACGATGCCGTAGATATCTGGTGCCGTTGCACAAACTGTCAGGAGATGAAGACCCTCCGTGAGTGTGTCTGCTGCCATGACTTGAGTGAGTCGGAGGCACGGGGCGTACCTGACGACATAACTTGTTTGACGGAACACGCCAACTTTGAGGCTAACAACCTCAACCCAGATGTGCTCCGCTCGGCGCTGTTAGCCCGCAGCGACATTCTCAAAGAAGATCTGGAGGATCCAATCAACAATCGTCTCTACAGACTCCAGGCCTATCGGCAGGTGACCTATTGGCTGCATGATCGACTTGGAAGGAGCGTAAGACGCGTGATCCCGTCTTGTGTGGTGAAGGCCATCCGCGCGGCCTACCCAGAAAGCAGCGGCGACTACAGGGGATTCCTCGAGGTAGACGAAGTCGTAGACTTTGTCTACGAGCTTCACCTGTGAGACCCTGTGAGACAATCGGACGTTATAACTTGTTCTCAAGAATCTGTAATCAAATTGAATATACTATGAGTAGACTGTGTATTATCAAAGAGTGTTGGATATTTAGTACGTAGTTCGCACGGATAATTCAATTAAGAATTATCAAGGTCAGTGTTTTCAAATCGTTACCCTTGTTGAAGTTTACAACCATACCGGGATTTTCACGTTTTCAAGCAGATATATTTCTACTGCAATTGGTGAAACATTTAAGTGACTTAGAAAGTAATTTTCAACATGTTAACGTCACCGATTCACCCTCTATCCGAATTCAACTTTATGTAACTTGTATAAGTGTCATTCACTTTATTGTTATACTGTAACAGTGCTGACATCTTGATTGAATATCACAAAATTTACCATGTAAATGGTTACATACGTACAATCTAAGCAGTTCAAAATGGTGTGAAGAATATTCTGTAATTCCCAAACAGAAGGCGTTACTACATATGTACATTGTATAATAGTAGATCAAATCATATGTATAACGGTATGTAAGTGCATTTATGCAGATGTACTGTCACTTTCTGTTTGATAGATTGGCAATCAATGCCATTCTAAACTTTACCAGTGAATATAGAATTCTCAGTAATGAATGGTGTAAATTGTCCTCAATTCTTTCTCAAAACTACAAAATTAATCTAACTTCTATAATAAGGCTGTTGGTCAGTAATGGTTTGCGAGGCTTACCTAATCTAGTAGTCATATAAGACACCCAGCTTTTCTCATGTAAATTAAGTACTAGTAACCTTTCTGGAAGCCAAGGCTGTAACGTACACACACAAGGTGCGTAATATGTACACTGTAGGATGATGTCAGGCTTAGCGGCGCCTGAATCTGCTGATGTATGCATTTATAACATCCTCTTTACTGCCGCGCTCTACAGGTGCGATATTCCTGGGGACGTCTGGGTCAGGGAGGACGTGATCGCCGTACCTCCACTGACCGCTCTCCTGCCGCCGCTTGACCTCCGCCATGAGCTCGTCTCTGAAGTTATATGTCTTCGCCTCATACAACCTCCTGGCAGTCCACGCCTTTCCTCTCTTTGAGAACGATGTAGACCACCTCAGATGCCCTATGTTTTACAGATAGGGAACGAGTGAATATTTTTGCACTCTATCAATGAGATGTAATAAATATATTATCCTGTAAAACTCACATGGATGGATTATAATGAATAAAATATTTGAATATAGAAACAAGCCTTACATCGCGAAACTACCAAACACACAATCACGTGATGCCATAATATGACGTGAGGACAGGTCACCAGTGTGTATATAACCCACCATCTTTTGTCCTTGCCTGTAGCCTTGAAACGTTCTCATTATGGTCCAGGACGGCGAGCTGAATCCTGGCATGCATTCCAAGGTACGGGAAATGTTGTCGCTTTGATGCATACTTCAGTAACAGGTTGTGGAAAACCTCCAGATCACCTGCATGCAGAACCACGGGGTCAAAAATGAAGAGCCGTTCTACGATATGGCATCGACAATTTCAAAAGGCGACGACCGTTGCGGAAATAGCATCACGCAACGTCGGTGATACTATGCACTATGATAATTAAAAGAATTTATTGTAAATACATTGCCATCACACATTATTGCATCACAGTTGCATACCTGTGTGCTTAAAACCTGTCATATGTGCCATGTCTTTAAGTAGTTGTTTCTCCATGACAACAGCTTTCGCGGCCTGGTGTGGGGGACTTCCCGCTTTTAGCCACAGGATGTCTTCATTGTCCAAGGGTGGGTGACTGCAGTTCTTGTACAGCTGACCCTCGTTAAAGTGATGGATGTTGGCAATGTGCTTCAATAGAGACAGCCACTTCTCTTGGAGGAGCTGTATGCACATGACGAACATTATGTGTAAGAGTGTATCCAAAATACAGAGGTACTTTTACGATGAGATAGCGATGATAAAAATTGTACTGGATACTAATCATAATTAAACAACATTTTGTTATTCCAAAAGTAGTAGTAGTATTCTTACCACATCATCTCCTTGGCAAGTTCTGGAGGACCACCAGAGATGATTGCGGATGCACCTGACCCATGGGGCCAAAGCTTTGCAAGACTTCCTCGCTGCTAGACTTGTGAGCTTCTTAGCAATCGATTTTCCAACGTGGAAAATATCGAATTGGTGGTCAATGTGTCTCCACTTAGCCTGTTTTAGTGCAGCGCCAATTCCTCGGTGACGATCTGTAACTATGCACTCAACATTGATCCCTTCCTCCAACAAGAATTCTAGGCTCGCTTCAAAGCCTCGTCTCTCAAGGGCTTGGGAGCTGACTGTACCGGTGACCTGCATTAGTTGAAAGTCCAGTATGTACTGGGAGGTCTCCTCCATGAGGGAATAGCTACAATATTTCGCACAATGACCTGGAGAGTCGCACCTGCCATCACCAAGCAGTGTCACCCGTATTTCTTTGTCAGGAGTCGTGTTGTGGGCATTGCGAAACGAATCCAAGATGAATTCTTGTTCCGACATGTAGTAATCATCGATTGCAGGGAGGAGGAACGTTCGCTGCACCTTGTTGTAGTGCGACTCGGAGAAGTTTTTCAACTTCAGTGTCTTGCAAATGTCCGAATACTTTCTGTACGTTCCTCCAGCAAAAAGGATTGAAGCTGGTATTAGGAGGTTACCCTCCGCCATCCGTCCGACCCTGGGCTGGGAATACCAGGTCCCTCTGTGAATGCCTGTACACTCATATGTGATTTTCAGCATGGACCCCTTTGTACACTGCTCTGTTACCATCAGTGGTTTACCACAGTGACAAGTCGTGAATCTTTCCAAGATTTTGTTCTTGTGGACAATAAAGTACATGGAGTCGTCCATTCCCTCGTCTTCAGAGTCACTGTTACCGCCGTCTTCACACCCCCATTCACTTTCGGAATCAGAGTCAGAATCAGAGAGATGGTACGAAGTGTCTGTTAGATCAGGCACAGTAGCTGCTGGCGATATGGACATGGAAGAAAGATTGTGCTTTCTGTTCGGAGTAGACGAAAGTTGTGGTGCACCAATATCACTCAGGTTTGTTGCTGAGGAAAGTGGAGATACAGGAGTATTAGTAGTAGGCTTTGATTTTAAGGTTGAGGAAAACAGGGCTGATGTAATAGTAGCTCCATCAATTTCCGTCTGTGTGCTTGCGTCCTTGAGCTGTGGAGGCTGTGTGAATGACGGTTTGCTGTATGTGTGGAACTCCAATGCTCCCTGTGATGGTGAACCGTCGACTCTGGCCTTCTTTCTTGGTTCATGTTGTGACAACCATCCATCTACTTGTTGAGATGCCTGCTCCTGCCATAAAAGAATAAACAAGTAAGATTACACCACAGGAATAACTAGTTTTCTTTACCCTACCCCGTTTAAAGAAGGCACGCCAAATTCATAATTTTCCGCGTACCTCAAACATGAAAGGTACTAGTATGCGTTTCTCTCGGCGAATTTACAGTCGGCACGCAAACTTTCTGGGTCCTGTAGTGCATGAAAAAGAAGGAAAAGTAGACTGGAGAAATAAGAGTTTCTATTTTATGTGTAACTTTATGTGTAACTTCGCACAGTACATACCTGTTCTTGAGTCGTTACTTCGGTGTCATCTCGCAATTCAGACGGCTCGCCGAAGACAGTAGGGACAGCGTTTCCAAACAGAACCTTTGCCGGTACTTTGTATGGGACAAATCTCGCCTTCACATTATCGGTACAGCAATTTGATTCAAAATGTTCCGAGCAGACGAATGCAGGGTTATTAGTACCAAAACTACCACGAAGTTTTTCGACCGTCCAGGGCTGTCGCAAATGCGGTTTCACGGCGGCTATCCATCTTTGACGCCTCTCATCCGACAGTGGAAAACGATGAAAACTTATCGGCTTGTCCTTCCTGTTCCAACTGTTGTTATTGCACACTACGCAGGTCGGCATGATGGGGAAGTAGGAGATAGTAACAACAACAAGACAAAGAAATACAAAAAGAGAGAAAGTAGCGAGATCGAATTGCATCGAACGCGCGAACGCGCGAACGTTGACCTAGTTCTTTTAAGAACTTCACGATTACGTCATTGTGAAGGTATGGCGGCGGCCAGTTTGTAAACGCTAGGCGCTAGCCCCAACTTCAAACGGCCGGTAGCGCTGTAAACTACGATGGACTAACGAACTAAGTGTAGAAATCACATATCAGACATACCATGCATGGTGTAATGACAGATTTAATCGAATGTCTTGTGTCCCTTTAAAGCTGCATAATGTTGCTACCGGTACAATTTTGTATATGGCTGATTCATGGACTTCATAAGATGGGTTGGCTATTCTATTCCCATTGCTTAAACTAGACTGCTGAACAGCTAGAGAATGATATAACGTTAGTCAAGACGTATGCATTAAACTTCATCATGACATTCTGGTCTCTAGCCAGACTCTGACGAATTTCTAAAAATATGACAGTCCTGTCGTAAATCTGTCGTCCTGTCGTTTTTGGTACAGATGATAGGTTCTGAAGTAGCAATATGAAAACAACAAATAACACATTTTCCAACATTTTTTCCAGTTCCAACCATGGTTTTGCCCAGAATCTTACAGTCATTTGACCAGAATCTTTTCAAAACTCATGTAATGAGGGCAACTAAAAACAAAATGGCAAAACCATGGTTCCAAAATCCCTCTGTTTCCAACTCTCCTTCCTCTGATTGCAATTCTCATCCAGTCAGTTGATGTTCTTCTAATGAATCTTTCCTTCTTTCCTTCCTCCTGTCTGTCGGGTGGTGTGCGTAGTGGGCACGCTGATGATGAGGGCTGGTATGGTTCCAATAGGTATTTCAGGATAATGTGGTAAGCGGAATGGTCTCAGTATACTTGGCATGGCACATGCGTACTAACTGTTGTGTACGGGATACATGTGTGTTGGTTGTCCTATGCCCTTAGTACAAAATGTACATTTATATCTCAGACTGTAATCTCCAAGCAAAATTTGTCAGTTTTACTTGCTCTGTGGAATCTTTTGGGGATTTATTTTTCTACTTCTTTATCTCTCTAGTGGTCCATGTGTACAAAATTTAAAAAAAAGAGATAACCACAGACAACTAGTCTAAGAGAGAAACATGAAAATGTTTCAAAAGTTCTAAAGAAAATGAATGGCTGATTGGCTGAAGAAGAAAAAATGGTTTCCATCAAAGTACAGTGCCTTAGTACAATGTAAGTAACAAGTGTGAATACTGCTCTGCTTACTTACAAAAGTAAGCTCTATCAGGTTCCACTTCCAGACACAAAATGCTGGCACTATATTTTAC